AAGAGCAACAAGAACTATTATGATAATATTGAAGATAGAAGAGCAAAGAATAAGGAATACAGAGATCAACACAAAGAAGAAAGAGTAGAATACGACAAGCAATATAGGCAAGATAATAAAGAAAGAATAGCTCGATACAAAAAAGATTATCATGAAAAGAACAGAGATACCGTACTACAGAAACACAAAGAATATCACAAACAACATAAAGAAGAGCAAAACCAAAAACGACGTGAATTCTACCAAGATCATAAGGAAGAAATCAACAGAAAGCGAAGAGAAAAGCGTCAACAAGCAAAAGAACAACAAATGAATTAATTAATTATAAATATTAATTTCTCACATATTAATATTTATAATGGCTTCACTAAATAATTTAACGGCAGTTTATGCAGATAGATTTTATTTGTCATCTTCAACGGGTGTAAGTGAAATATCAGATACATATGCTACAAAAACCGAATTAGGAGACATCAACACTGCAAACTCTTCAAATATAACAGCCAACGCTGACGCTATTTCAGTCTTGAATACAAAGCAACTACAAAACTTTCATGACATCAGTTCTATCTCTCATATTTAGGCGACTACATATCAAACTAATTTGCAAATATCCAGTAGTTACTACAGTAAAGTAGAAATAGATACTACATTTTCTAATTATTATACATCAACACAGATTGACACAAATTTATCTACTAACTTCCAAACCAACACGCAACTGGCAACCAATTATTATGATAAGGGCGAGGTAGATACATTAATAGCAGGGGCTGGATCGGGATACACAACTACTGAGGTTGATAATCTACTAGACTTAAGAGTTCCCAAATCAGATTTTACAAATAGATTTAGTGCCAATCCTATTATTGACTGTAGTGCCCCTACTGTTATTCATAGCGGTTTAACATTAAACAACTCAACTATTAATATATCGCCAGTAGCAGGATTATTATTTAGTAATCAAACAGGAGGAGGTGATAAAGTATTAGCAGAGTTTAAAAACGCAACGAGTTATATAACTTTACAAGGAGATAAAATATTTTGTAATAATACATCAGATGACGCTATTAAACAATTAGATTTATCAAATAATAATGCAGGTTATAAAATGAGTGGTAAAATAGCAGTGCCAAGCGGTGGGTTAGTAGTAGAAAACACAGCAGATGCTAATCTATCATTTACAGTTAGAAATACTGGTAATTATATTACTTTTAATAATGATAATATTGATTGTTATAATTCAGTTGGTGATACAGGTAGGATTTTACAACTAAATAATAATGCTAATCAGTATGTTAAATCTCATTCTTTATTAATTGATACAGGAATAGAAACATTAACAGGAGGTTATACATTAGATGTTGTTGATAGTGCTATTATTAGACAGAACTTAAAGGTAGATGGTGATATTGATTTAACAACTGATTTCAATTTTGATGGAGAAAACGCTAATATTAATAATGCCAATGGATTAACATTTTATAAAAATACAACAGACGCTAGTAATGTTTTAACTGTAAAAAACGCACAAGGGTATTTAAAATTTAACTCATTTAATATTAATGCTTATAATACAAGCAATGACAGTTCTTCATTACTTTTATTAAATACTGCAAATGGTAATGGTGTCTATTGTTTAAGTTTAGGCATCGGAGCAATTCAAGGCGCAAATAAACTAAATGTAAGTGGTGGGAATGCTAATTTTGGTGGCACCTCATCATCTCAAAACACATCAACATTTAATGGTGATATTTATGTCAATAGTTCAGGCAGGATATTTCAAAGAGCAGACGCTAATAATTCATTAAATATAATATCAACAGAAGAAATTAATTTTTCATTACAACCAAGAACAATTGATCCTACAACAGGAACAATAGCACTACAACTAAACGACACTAACGGAATTACATTAAACAGAGCAGTCGTAAATAATCTTACTTTTAATAGTATTGGTAATATTGTAGGTGAAAGCGATGTTATTAGTTGGGGTAGGTTTATGTTTCAGAACAGCAGTGAATTAAAGGAAGTTTTAGACACTCAGTATAAGTTATATATCAGAAATGGAGACACTGCGGGAGAAATGAATTTGACAATAGGATTGGAAAGTAGCACACCGGAAATTCAATTAACAGAAGGGAAAGTGAATTTATTGGGAAATTTAGAAATAACACACGATGATATAACAGGACAGCAACGAGTATTAATAAATAATCCAGACGACAACGGATGGATAAGATTAAGTAATAACAACTTATCAACATTAGACGCAACAACAACAGGTGTGGATGTTTATGGTGACCTTTCATATACAGGGTCATTAATTCCTTCATCAGATAAAAGATTAAAGAAAGATATAAAAGAAGTAGATAGCAAAAAAGCAGTAGACCTAATAAAATATATTAAACCGAAAACATATCATTTTATTGATGACAGACAACAAGGTAAATCGTGTGTAGGATTTATCGCTAATGATTTTATGGAAACAAAGAAGATGCCTGATGAATGGCAGAATGTAGTTAAAGAAGGAAAAGATGGATATTTAAAGTTTGATTATACAACGTGTGTGCCAATTTTATGGAGTGCTTTACAGACAACAATAAATGAAGTAGATAAACTGAAAAAGGAAGTAAATAAGTTAAAGAAAAATAAGAGTGATAGTGATTAATAATATTTTGATCAATAATATTTTAGGAAATAATATTATTAATCACCTATTTCAAAGCGTTGTTCAAAATTAATATAAAACATGTTATTCACATCTTTAGCATTTGTGTTTATATAAAAGAACGAGTAAGGCGCAAAGTTCACCGCTTGTTGATACATGTCATAAAGTGTTCGCTTGTCTACAAGGGCACTATTCTCTTCTAGGAAACTATTTACCTCGTTCATGTTCTTCAGTCTGAGTATGAAAAGTGCCGAGGCATTAAGTCTTATTATAGGGGCAAGGACATTATATTTTTGTGTTGATAAAATACATGAGATGGCATTATGTCTTCCACGTGTGAACAATCCATGCAAGATATTTGAGTATCTTACAAATTTAGGATCATCGGCAAAGTCGTCCACCACTATTAAAATACTGAATAATTCCTTTTGTTTATTCTTCTTCTGGAAGTCTATTACCTTGTGTTGCGTTTCTATTATATGCTTTAACGCAATTGGATCGTATTCTTCAAAATATACTTTTTCCTTTTCGGTATCCACTTTCATTACGTCAGTAATGTATTTCTTGACTGCTCTCCATGTGTCATCCACATGCACACTAGGGCTAAAAATGTATATCCTTTCAAATGAACCACGGTATATCTTTAAAATTAGATTTTGTATTAAAACAGACTTGCCACCCGTTGAAGAGGCAACACATAACATTCTTGCAGGTAGACTTGGCATCATCCCGTATTTACTATTCTTATAATTGTATTTGGGTATGTCTATAGGTTCTACTTTAGGAATATCTTCTAACATTAATACTAGTGAGAAATTATATCAAAAAAATATATATGGATAAATACATAGAAGTAATAAATGAGATAGAGAATTTTGATGAAATAATAAAAACTCCAAGATACAGAATGTGTTGTCACAGTTTGTTGGAATTTCTTAAGGCATTTTTATATTATCTTAAAAATGTTAAAAAATGTAAATAATATATATACATGGATTGTTTGTTTACTAAGAAAGAAAACAAAGAAAATAAAACTGATTGGCTGGAGGAAAGAAGAAATATTAGAATGTATAACGCCAGATTAAGTGCTATTATAGATGAACTAGAGGATTATTATCATTATGAAGAGTATAAGAAGCGATTTAAATTGTTGTTTGAGTTTTATCAGCTGGAAGAATTGCAAAAATAATGTTGTAAAGAGTGATTTACTTATAGAATGACGCAAGGAACGAGCCCCGCGTGCATTCGCGTCAGCGCCCCATTTCTCCCATTTCCCCAGTGTGCCTTCCATAAGCATGTCAAAAGAACATGGTAATGGTTAATTAGTTTGAAACAATGCTTGTCATAATTAATAAATTATGATAAATATTGTAAAATAATATAATATGACAATATATGTTGATAAGATAACCATGGATTTTAATACTGAGCATTACCCTCCCCATTGTGATCGGCAATGTGTTAGATGTAAGAAGTTGAAGAATTTAGTGCATTTCAAAAGATATTATCATTGTAAAACGGGGAGGTATTTAATGCAGTGTAGAACCACTGTTACTTGCTGTGAATGTCTTGATGGAATGAAAAAGTATAATGATAAAAGGAAACGTGAGTTAAAAAAAACATAAGTATAATGTAAGCACATTTCATAAGAGTTTATGGAATATAATCCTATTATGATTACAACCTTTATAACCAAACCTAGTAAAATCTATGAGAGAACCCTTGCCCATTTTGGGTAATAATACCACCTTAGGGAATATGGATAGGGTAATTGGTTATTCCTATACTGGTCTTGGTAATGGGGTAGTAGTGGTGATATTTGGGGGATTGTAGTAGGGAGTATAGGAATATTCCGCTTATATGGATGAGGTAATCGGTTATTCCTACACTGGTATTGGTAATGGGGTAGTAGTGGTGATATAGTTGGTGAGGTGTAGGGGGGAGTATAGGAATAATCGTCTAATGGGTTGACTGGTGGTATTATTACCCAAAATGGGCAAGGGTTCTGCTAACTGTTTGGGGGGGGTCAGGGATGAGACTTGCAAACACGAATTCTTCAGACGAAAAGAAAAGACTTTCTGAAATGGCCTGGCACACCAAAGTTCCTACATTCAGCTCTTGGCAAGGTCTGTAGTGAAGCTGCATCTTCCAAACCATTCCTTAACCATCCTTAACAAGAAAGGCTAGATGCCACTCAATGCACTGGCCTGGCCAGACTCCTGGACACCCCTGAGACATGTTCAAGCCCAGCCGAATTTGCCCGAAGCCAAGGGCAGGATCTGCCCTGCTTTGGTGAGTCGACGCGGTTGCAGAGGGAGTGCCAGGAGAGATGCCCAATGGCTGTGACCAGTCGGCTCTAGCTCAGAGAGGATTTGGAATTTGGAATGCCCTGGCTGGATTTACTGCCCCTGCTCCTTGAGTAGCCTGCTCGGCTTGTTTTGCAAACGTGTGGAAGCTGCTACCCTGAGAGTTTCCTAGCATATTGTGTGGCGCTGTGTCTAGCAAGTGTCTTGGCTCTGCAATTGTCTTCGAAAGATGTTGTTTTCAGGAACATAGAGGAATTTACTGATCTTGCTGCGACTTGTCGTGTTCCTGCTCTTTGCAAGCCGGAAGCCTTGCAATCACTATTTTGCACGCAACAAACCTTTTTACCATTAACGCCTTCCCCAAGAGCTGCAGGCTTTGTTGTGTTGCTACATGCCTCGCATGCTTGAACACCTTCTTGCAGAGTTTCGATCAACTTGAGCTTTGCAAAGTATGCAATCCAAGAAGCTGCATCCCCAAACTTTTTGTGAACAACTTGTGCCAAGCCAGCCCTGCTGGTACACCACTGGATGATGAAGTCCCACGACGCCGCCTGTTTCGATGCCATGCTCGCAACCTCCCCACCACTCCCAGGAGGTGTTCCAGCAGATCCTCGATGTGGAGAACGAGACGACCTCACTGCAGCGACAAGTAGTGCAGCTTCAGGAGCCAGGGGGTTTAGGGGAAGAGCGGGAGAGCGTGTTGTAGTCGCAGCTTACCGAGTCGCACAGTTGGCTGCTTCGACAGCCGGAGCATGCGCACTCCGCAGGGACTTCGGCTCGTACGCCCCTCGAAAGGAAGACAGAAACCAAGAAAGCAAGAGAGCATCAAGCTGCAGTACCTGGTTTTGTGCTTAACCCATTTGAGCAACAGATACCTTGAAGACTACAATGCTCGGGCTTGCAAGAGCGCGGCGAAAGTGATGCTGAGGATATGAAGAAGAAGAACAATAGTATGAAGTGCACAATTTTTTTCGACAACGATGAAGAGCATAGTATTCAGAAGAATAAGATGAAGGTGAAGATTCAATACTAATAATAAGAAGATGGTCAAGCCTAATACAGGGTGGCCCGATGGGATGAAGGAAAACAAAAAAGTGACCGGTGGACTGGTACCCTTGTTGTTAGCTGGGTGGCGTCCTACTATCGGAATGGTGTTTGACGACCTTCTCCAGCAGGTCTGTTGCTGTGTGTCACGCGCTGTGTGAGCGGGCTTGAAGTTCAAGAAGAAGAAGGAGGAGGAGAAGGAGGAGGAGAAGAAGAATACAAGAAGAAGCAGCTTGGCATCAAAGTCGAAGCAGCAAAGAGAGAGCAGAGTGAAGTCCTTCAGCCGGTCGGGCAGTCAGAGAGGAGAAGATGGAAAGAAGACCCCTCAAAGCCTCCCCAGCCTCATCCGCAGCGGGCCCTGAGGACGAGCGCAGCTCCCTCGAAGCTTCAGCGCAGCAGCATGAGCAGCAGGCAAGGCGCGAGATGGCTTTTACGGCGTGTTTCAGATGTTTTTCATCGGGGTCCAAGGATCGCTCGTTTGAGGGGTTTTCGGGGGTTGGGGCCTTGACTGAGGCTCCACAGGGGTTCATCTTTTATTTCATGGCGGAAGCACGGGCAGCTTTGCTTGCACCATCAACAAAAACACTGCGGCCAGGCGCTGGCCTTGAAGGACAGGGTTTCGGGGGGTTTTGGGGGGTTTTTGGGGGGTTTCGGGGGGTTTCGGCTCACGCTTTGTTCTTGGCGCTTTGCTCGGTCATGTGACGATGTCCGATTCCGAGCGCTTGTGCAGCCTTTGCCTCCCACAGCCTGCAGCTTGAGGGCTCGAGCCCACAGTCTGCGACAGGAGAAGCGCGAAGAAATCCAGCGGCAGAAGGCGCATCTGGTGTTGCGAGTGGCTTCCCACGGCTTCGAGTGCATTTGCAGCAGAAACATGCTCAAGCCTACGAACAAGCTCCAAGGCCCCGAGAACCTTCAGGTTCTACTCAGGACCAGCCATTCAAGGAACTTTCATGATCCCCCACCAGGAGCAGTGTGAGCGCTCCCTCGAGAACTTGAGCAATCTCGAGGCGGAGCACCGTGAAAAGCAACAGGCGCCAGCCCCCAAGGGCCCCAAGGGTGGCTTAAGGGGTTGGAAAAGAGCGCCCAAAAAGCTTGCGAAATAAATTCCAAGCTAAGTCCCTTTGATTCCCTTTGCACGTATTTTTCTGATGGTGCCATGCATGGCACAACCACACTGGAAGCAAGGCAGAGGCGAAATCTGGTTATGAAAAGATATGCCATCCGTTCGGGGTCATGCTGTTTCGTTGCATGTCCGTCATCAGCTAGTTACACGCAGCATGACCAGTCATGCTTATCATTTCGTATAGCATGGGTTATCACTGCCCAGATCTTCGTGCATGAGTTCATCGCATCCCAGGGCCGCGATGCCTCCGCCCAGCGCCTAGCAGCGGCCCAGGCGGCGGGCGGAGCAGCTGCAGGCGGCTTGAATTCGTTGTGAAAGTTGAGGATTCCATGCAGGATGTTGTTGTCTCAGACTGGCTCAGATGCAAGACGGTCTTTTTGCGAGTCTCTGCCAGATGAGCGGGCGTCGCCTGCCACCAACAGCAACTCTGTGATCCACATATCGCCAGGATCGCCAGGCTTGACGCGCGGATGCTTTTTCAAGGTGTGCAACAGATTCTGCCAGATTCCTGTACTCGACTCTTGAGCCAGGCTCCTCGCCGAAGCGTGTGTTGCCGAGGCAGCCGGCGGTGCCGCCGATGCCAGAGGCCGCCTCAGGGGGCCTTCGGGGCTCATGGTAAAACCTTGGAAGGGCCTTCCAGGCCTCGCCGTCGCCGCGCCCGGAGGTGCCGCCGTCGCCTCCATGGGCGCCACCCGCAGCCTCAGAGGCTGCCCTGTTCTTTGCAGGTTTCTGCGAGGGTTTTGGAGATGTTTTGGAGGGTAGGGTAGACTACAGTCTGGCCCACAATTTCAACAATGTCATGGCTTTCGAAACGTGCATGGACGCCGCCAAGAATCTTGAAACAGCTCAACCACAGAGTCGCCGTGAGGAAAACCAGCAGCATCCTGAAAAGCACGACTCGCCGGAAGTCACATAACTTAACCTTGAAACCCCGAAATCCCATGGCCCCCATGACCCAACCTCGTGAAAGCAAGCGCTCCAGCTTCTCCGAGGAGGAAGAGGAGGACATCGGCTCGGAAACGGCCTTTCCTGACCCTCCGGAGGCCTCGTAGCTGAACAGCATGGAGCAACAACTCAACTCTCGAAGTTCCGTTTTTTCGTCCTTGTCCTGTGAGAATTTTGTGAACCTTTGAGTTTCCCTAACGCCAAACCCACTGTGAACCCCAGTGCAGAGGTCCCACGGCTCGGCTGTATTCAAAAAAGCATCAGAACAACCACATCTCACAAGAGATCCAGAGCTGAACGGAGGCGCCACCACCCGAGTCCCCGCTCCAGGGCTCGCGGCCCGTCTCGGCGAAGTCGGCGAAGGCCGGGCTTTGGTGCCGCTTGCGCCGCCGCGCCCGCTAGTGCCGCTTTTTACGCCCCAAACCCCCCCGAAGCCGGCCCAAAGCTCAAACCCTCAAAGTTGCCCTGAAGTCAGCGGGCGAAGCGTCCTACGACGAAGACTTCCATGACGACGCCGCTTGGAGCATCCTTAGTGGGCTTGGAAGAATGTTTACAGGTTTGGACCGGAGTATTGCAAAAAAAAGTGTGCAGGGCAGATCAGCAAAGGATGCGAAGAGGATTGCAGAAAGATATTCCCCTCATATCTTCATGCTCGAAGCTGGGGCCAGCTAGGGCACCTGACCTGAGGACTTCGAGGAGTCGGAGCCCGAGGAAGCCTGACCTGGCCATGCAACTGAGCCTTTGCAGGCGTAGAGGGCCAAGGGGACATGCCCTACCAGGACCTAGGACCTCTGTTGGCACAAGCAAAAAGCATAGAACATAGCAAGCTCTCTTTCGGTAGATCGAGAACTTCGTGTCTTACTCTGCTAGGCGATGCGCGCAAGCCTTAAGTAGCTGAAGGCCTTTCGGGATTACGGGCTTGTGTCTCTGCAAGTGTCTGATGGCAATGTCCTCGGACATCGTGCTCCACGGCAGACGAAAAACCCGTTCGCCGGGCGGAGAGAGTGCAAAAGAAGCTGGAGCTCAATGAGGCCCTCTTGACGCGACGAGGTCATGGTAGCGCGCTTTCATGGTTGAATGGAGAACACAACATGACCACAATTGCGGTAACAACAAAGATATGAACTTTGCGATCTGTACCCGGAAGGCTGTGTACATCGTTGACGAACGAGGGGCAATGGTGCCCGCGGAACGACGCGCGATTCAGGAAGCCACGCGATTCAGGAAACTGCACGATTCAGGAAAACAACCGGGGGGGATCGGGTTGGGCGCTGGGTTGGGGAATGAGATCATGGTTCCCGATTTGCTGAATCCACGGTGCCAGTTTCCCGAACGGTTTCCGAACACGCAGCTTCAAGTTTCCGAATTCGTGGTTTTAGTTTCCGCGTACGGCTTCGCGCACGGAGGGCTTCCAGGAGCATCCAAAAAACCTCGAAGGGCCGGCCTTCCAAAATGTCACAAGAGACAGCGTGTCCGCGACATTCCCGAGGAATCGCCTCGAATCTGTTGAAATGTTCTTCGTTTTGGGATGGCCTTGAGAAAATTTCCTCGAGAGAGGAACGCTCTCCGATGCGTGCGACGTTGAGTTGGCACCTCCAGACCTGCATTCGAATTCCTGTTGCCCGCCCAATCACTCGACCCAGAGTGCCCAGTCGAGCTAAGAGCATGGTGCTGAATTCAGTCTGCATCGATGCAGCTGATCGCTTGCCTCGCCTGAGCTCTCGAGCACCACTGGCTTCGGGCTGTGCCACGCCAGCTTCCAAGCACCAGCCAACCTCAAGCTCGGGGATAGCTGGCGAGGTGTGGGAAACCAGCCCGTACCTAGTGACCTCGTGGTGATTCGTGGTGTCCCGCACTTCGCTAGCTTGGGCTGGTGCTTGCAGACTGGTGCGAGACCAGCCTGCAGAGAACTCACCAACCCACAACCAGCCTGAGGGCAGCTTGAGACCAGCTGGTGCTTGAAGGATTCTGGAAAGCTGGTGCGGGACGCCAGTCCGGACATCAACGTGCGTCACGCTGGTGCAGGACAGCCAGCTTCAAGGAAAGCTAGCACAAGAACCAGCCTGCGCGGGACACCAGCCAGCAGAGAGAGCTCAAGGCTGCTTGAAAGCTAGCGCGGAACACTAGCCCATCCCCCAACTTGAGGGCAAACTTGAGGTAGACTCCAAACGACTCACATTGACGGTTGTTTGAGGTGGTAACTTCATGCGTTTGGTCCACCACCACTATGCAGGCACGTGCTGCGCCACTGCCCAGAAAAGCCTGTTGTTTGGCACTCCTTTTATGCGCATCCCACTTCCATTGCTTCGGGGACCATGCGTATTCCCGCCTGAAGAGCAGTTTCGACACAGATGGTGGGGGCGGAAGTTGCCAAGCCTTTCCGTCGTGCAGCGCTTCGGGTGGATAGTGGCGAAATTTTACGTGATGGGCATATCTTTACATGAGGATGTTTTACCGTCGTATTGCTGGTGGGCCTCCGACGGGCGATGCGACATTCGGCAAGGCGAGGGCAGCCGCCCCGGTTCGCACCTTGCCGCCGTCCAATTCGGCCTGCAATTTGCCCAGTTGATGGTGCCACGGCGGCGTGGGGCAAGTGATCTTTCTCCGTCCTCCAAACGTGACTCCCAGCATGGGCGGACTGCTACCTGGGATGCGGGGGCGCCGCCCCTTATCTCCAGGAGGCGGCCGACGTGCGTCGTCTCCTTCACAACGCACGGTGGATGGACGAAGACGGCTGTCCCGCATGGCGTCTGGTCAATAGCGTAGACTGCCCAGCAGCGGACTCAGGTCGTGTGGGCGGGGGGCTCCGCGCTCCATTGCGATGCGACGTTGGTATCCCTGCTGAGGGGTGTGACGTCCATGAACCTGATTTAGGTGTGTGGTTTTTAGGGTGACGGTGCCCCCTGGCCTACCTCTCAGGAAAGAAACCACCAATAAAGTCTGTCGGCGGAACTGGGCTTGCAGTATGTCGCGGTGGACCAGGTCATGAGAGAGAATATGTCCTTGAACAACCGTTGACGGTCAGTATGTAGACAAAGAAAGCCGGAAAGAAAGCCGGACACATTAATCGGCAACACTCAGTTGCACAGCAGCAGCAACAGCATCAGAAATATGCTTGAAGCTTGTCTGTCCACCTTCTTTCGAAGCTTTACTCATGCCATCGTAGGCGGCGGCATCAAGGGACACAGCTGTGAGGTGCGGGTTTGCTGCACAACGAGCCTGAACCTCAGATCGCTCCCGCCGCCCAGCACGCAGGAGTACGCAAATCGACATGATGCAGCGGTCCTGACTCGCTCCGTCGCACGCGGCTTGCATCCTGCACGGGATTGACGCAGTGCCTACGTCGCCCGCGCCGTCTACGCGCCTCACCTTCTCCGATGCGGAATTTTTTTTTGCAAATCTTGCCTAATTTTTGTCGTGGCCGCTACGAGTGCACGCAACCCGCGCAACATCCCAAGCAGCTCCCCGGAGAGTCTGTGGCATCATTGCTGGGGCAGCCCTAGTCGTGGCGCGCAGGGCCAAGGAGCGCAACGTGCTCTGGCGCTGCGCCGGTGCGCCCTGCTGACATTTGCGGCTGCCCGTGCCTTCGCAGTCCAACAGGCCGTCGCAGGCACGGCCCTACGTCGCGCGTGCAAGCGGGACCGGGAACCGGCCCCAGCCTGGAATTTAAGGGTGCTGGACCTCGCCGGAGGCGCAGAGGGCGGCCGTAGGAGCTCGTAGGCCGCAGGAGCACGGACACCACAGGCAGCTAGAAAAAGGAGCGAACAAAAAAAATCTCGCCATGCACTTGGCCAACCTCGATGGCGAGTGCCCCTCGTCAGCCCGACTCGTCCTGTGATGCGGCGTGTTATGCACTGGGACAGTGCATAACATCTTCGAACCATGCCCACCCTTTCTGGCTGGAGATACTCTGGGGTTGGGCACTCAAGGGGCGCTCGAGGGTTCCAGGGATGAGTGAGTAGCAGACCGGGCGAGGAGAAAAATTCCGGGCGAGGAGAAGAGTTGCATGTTGAATTTAAAACATCAATTTAAAAAAGGGCCTGGCTCAGCGATCGCTTGCATAAGGAGCGCAGGCTTGCCTCCCGGATGCTGCAGGGCTGACGGCGTTGGAAGCCGGAGGTGGGACTGTCCCATGCTTGCACGAGGCCCGGTGATGCGCGACACGAAACCAACACTATCGGGAGCACGTGTTGCTGCCGGGCTGTGGTCAGGGGGTCGACCATTTTGGGGACAACGCCCTCGTGTGCATGCGGGCCAACCTGGTCAGGCGCGCCATGACGATCAAGCGCGCCTGGGTTCACAGGCTGACGGGCAGGGAGCAACACGACAGTCACAAGCACGGCACAGCTTTCGGTTGTGCGTGGCCGGCCCAGCTTAGCCCCAGCCAGCGCACCGACCTGATGCTGGGGCTCGCGGCCCCAATTGGCCCAAGCCTTCCATCCTTCTGCGCCTGAGGGCAGCAGACCCGCCTGAGGGCAGCAGACCCGCCTGAGGGTGAGGAAGAAAGATAAAACTATAACAACTCCAAAACCAGGAACGCCCCAGGTTACGACGGATCCATCGCCAACAATCGCAGCAAAAGCGCTTTCAGTGGCTTGGATCTGCTGCACATTCGTGAGCCGGTCTTGCACAGTCCTACTGTTACCACCATCGACACTGCTACCCGAGGTCACGACAGATCCATCGTCAAGAATGGCAGCAAAAGCGGCCGAAGAGGCCTGAATTTGCTGCATGTGTGCAAACAGAGCCTGCACAGACGCACTGTCACCACCATAATCAGCATCACCCCAAATCACGACAGATCCATCCCGAAGAATGGCCGCGAAGGCGCGCATCGAATGTTGGATGCTCTGCACACTCTGCAGCTGATTCTGCGCAGCACTGCTATCACCACCACAGGCAGCATCTCCCCCAGTCAGGCAGCGAAAGCGCCATAAGTGGCTTGTATATGCTGCGGTCGCCACCAAAGCCACGATTGCCCCAGGTCACGACGGATTCATCACCAAGAATGGCAGCAAAAGCGCTTTCAGTGGATTGCATCTGCTGCACATTCTTCAGCTGATCTTACACGGACGGCTGTCACCACCGTTGCGAACATGACCCCAAGTCACGACGGATCCATCGCCAAGAATTGCAGCAAAAGCCACGACAGAGGCTTGGATCTGCCGCACATTCTTCAACCGATCCTGCACAGCACTGCAGTCATCACAACATGTAGCTGCACCCCGGGTCAAAACAGATCCCCCGCCACCCACTTGTTGATGGTAAGCGGTGGACGCGAAAACAAAACAAAGAACTGGGGGTCCCGGGGACACGCGGAGCTCCAGACATAGCCAAGCAACGAGCAGGGCGCGCCTCATGCAGACGACCGCCCCTACCTCGTGCAACGCCACGTGCGAAGACGAAGCCTTCGTGTGCAGTAGCTTCCTGGCGCGCCATCGAGCGCGACCATCCCAGCGCACCTCGGACCAGCGGCTCAGGCCGCCTGGGTGTCGCGATGGGGGGGCGCTCCTGGCCGTTGCGGCCCAGCACTCGTTTTCGTCCCCTCCTTGCTCGAGCCCCCCCACCCCTATCGGGCGAGAGCAACGGCAGTGATGCCGTGCCTGAGCTGCACGAGGTCCTAGCTGATGCCCGCTGGCGGCGATGAGGCCCGTTCCGCCTACCTTTCGTCCGACTGTTTTACAGGCGCCCTTCCGAGCATTATTGGTGGGACTCGGCGG